TTTTTATGTCAGTTATAAAACCAAACATAGACCATTGAATTATTGAATTCAAGTCATTTCAAAGTGTGCCAATTTTCTTTTGGTCAACTTCAAAATGGGGATGCAGTTTTCACCGTACTTCTCATCTATCTTTCAAACTATGCATCTTTTAGTCGATGAGTTTCATAGCAAAGCTTAGTTGGAGAGCTTTCAATGCTAACATTTAAAGTATATATGTAGAGTTAATACACGCCTTTCCCCTCCAAAGCCCTTATCTTCTTCCTAGCTACCAATGAGAGAGATATAGAAGACTTATTGGACGTCTCGAGTGAATGCGGGAATAAGATACTAATGAAAAAAGTTAAAAACATGAACATATATATGAGAAATACTTGCTCTCTTTAAGAGTTTTGTAGATACGACTGACTTGTCTTTAGTTGATCAACGATTTATGTTTCGTCTTTCGTTTTCTTTTCGGTATATCACTTTGCGATGGAAAAAATAATATTATGTCAATTTCAAATATGAATTATCACAAGAAAACAGAAAGGGTAGAAGAAGGTCTCCATCAAAAGCAACATCATCAACCAAAACCAAAGGTGCTTTGGAAATACCCTAAATATTTCCCCATGCTAGAGGGGATGAAAAGGACATGAGCAGAAAGCCCATTCACATATATCAAAACCACACAAAAAAAAAAAAAATACAACAAACCCCATCAAATTAAAATTAAAAATTGCCCAAAATTTGTTAACTTCTAGAAGAGAGAGATGAAATGGGGTGGTGCTAAAGCTGAAAAGCAAAAGGGAACAGAAACAATACAGAATTCCAACTCCCAAAAGAATAGGAGGGAGAGAATTAGATGGTGAACAACATCAAGAACATATGTACTAATCAAACATCATACAATTACTTTGACTACCCTCCTCGATGTTTTTACGATACTATTGAAATTTTGATTCACCCTTACTTGATTTCATTTAACAATAGACTTTCTGTCGATAACAAATTTTAATGTTTGGGTAGTAGAACATATAATAATAGTCTTTGTTATACTTCTATGTATAATGCGAAGAAGCATTGAATCAACGAAGTCCCAGTCGTTTTCACATTCTCTTTTTCTGGGTCAAGTATTCAAACGCGGAGAAGAAAGAGAGAACGAGAGTTGGGGAATGATGGGAAAGAAAAGAAGGGTAGATTTGGATTTGATCAAAAGAATAGAAAATTGGTATATGAATTGAATGGGAGTGGTGTGGTTGAGAGTTGAGAGAGATCCCATTTTGATGAAAAATGGTGAATCAAAAAAGCCTTTCATCACAAGAAAATGAAAGATTCAGATTGCATTTGGCCAATCTCTGTGTCTTTTGCATATGCCTTTTTGTACAACTTCTTTTAAGATGTACTCTCTGAGTTTTGCGTAAGCCATATGACATATATGGATTTGGACATTTCACTTCCAAAATGGGTCCTCCCCCAAACTCACCCCTTATTTGTAGGGAGGGGCAGAGACGACAAATAAACGATATCGCCAGTCATGGATTATGGTAAAAACAAGGTTGTTTTAAGTCTTCATTTTGTTTGTACTACAACGAGAAGCATTTGAGTTAATCTGAACATGACTCGATGGATAATTAAGGTCCGCACCTACTATCATCTTAAAAGTCAATAATTTGATCATTTACCATTTTGGAGAGAAAAATTAGACTAATTAATTTACTAATATTGACATCATCTATATGTTCCTTCTAATCAAGGTTTTAAATGTTTATGTCGATGGAAATGTCGAGATTTTAATTTTATGGAAAATTCTATGTTGATGGATGTTTTCAGAGAAATTATAAAAATAAAAAATTCATAAAAAATATTTAAATTAACAAATAAGTCTCTCGATCTTTTTGAATAAGTTTAAATGATTAATATTAATATTATGTCTATAATAGTGATATTTTGTTGATATTTTCGTATTTTGTTGATTTTTTTGGAATACCTTGCTTCTGTTCAATATTCCAACCCATTAAAAATGTGGAATCAAAGTACTTTTTTTTAGTACAACAATTAAGAGCGGGAAATTCGAACCCACGATTTCTTGGTCGGTGATGGGTACTAATTACCATCGAACTAAACTCATGTTCGCAAAGTGATTTTTGTCATGCGTTAAGTCTACGGAGATTCTATTTTTGACATATTTGTCTGTTATTAAAATTCAGGATTGATATACAACATTGTTGAGACAATTCAACTAACATTTTGTCAAATGTAATTAAATTGGCCATAAATATGTGTCATCTCATTAATTTCTTTCTATGATAAGATAATTAGATTTATAATTAAATTGATCAAATCTTTGAGTTCACTTAGCTAGGCCCACTTCAAAATTAAAAAAAAATAGAAACATAAAGTATAAACTTAATTATTTTCTTCTCTCTCAATATCTAAGATAATGGAGTGCCACATAATCCTTTGACAGCATATAACTTTTGGAGAGTTGGCTATAAAATGGTAGTGGAACCTTCATGGAGCATAAACAAATTTAATTATTAAATCAACTTGTTGGCTGATTCCCCCACTTACGGGATCAAGAAAAAGAAAAATACTAGGGTTTTTTATTTTTTAAGGGGCCATTTATGGGCTGTCAACTCCATTTCTTTAATCTTTTAAAAGGGAAAAAAACCCATTTGTTTATTTTTATTTTTAATTTTTTTTATATAAGAATTAAGTATATTGCAAGAAAAAAAATCTCCAATCTGGGATTGACACAAATGGAACAACAAGACATGTCAATAAGGTGGCAGGAACATTGACAAGAAAATAAAAAGCACAACTAAAGCAGGCAAACAACAAAAGAAAATACCACAAACCTTATAAAGAGACATAAATCCTAAAGCAGGCTTTGTCAAAATGACAAGAACTAGAACGAACGTTATCCAGCCAAATAGTAGTACTGACATAAATATCATTATGAACAAGTTGTAAAATAATCCGGGTCGAATGAGAAGCACTCCATTTGTTTAATATTAGTTATACTTTGAGAAAGAAAAAAATAAAAAAATAAAAGAAAAAAAGAAAGCCATAAAAAATTAAGCATGCTAATTGATTACCAAAGAGCCTTGAAATATGAAAGCCAAGATTGAGCTTAGGGACCAAGACACAGTCTCCCACATGTAGCATGTGTATTTTTGGATTAGTCAATTAAGTACAAGCTTTAAAAGGGGCTAATTATTTTAAAACCCCTAAAAAAATTATATTATATAGTTTCCTTATAGGCCACTTGAATACTTCAAACTATATTTTAATATGCAAAACCCTAGCTAGAAAGGGAAGCATTTGTGGTCATGAGTTAGGGTAGGGGAACCCTAATTAGAGCCCTAAACAAGATCCTAAATCTATGTTAACAATTTAGTTTAAACAAAGAACAAAGTTCACATTTACCCATATGGGTTTTTTTTTCTTTTTTTTTTTTTTGGTGGGGCAAAAAAAATGTTCAAAAAACACAACAATGACCCTTGAATTGGGACTCCTTGCATTGATCCTATTGGACACAAGTCTTAGATTTTGAGTCAACATGCCCCAAAGTTATTGTTAAAATTAGTATCTTACCAAGACATGACATTGTTTTCCATTCAAAAAGTAGAAAACATTATGTTTTTATTTTGAGGTGCTATCTATCTTTGATGTTTTTTTGAAGCTCCCCATGAAGGGAAAAAAAAAAAAAACACTTTTTCCCTTGTGAAACCCAAAAAATGTTTATCATTTATTTTGGACAAAACATTCTTAATTTGAATTTCTAGAGGTATGAAATAGCAACAACCAATTCACCTATGTTTTTAGGCCTGTTTGATAGATATTTTGTTTTAAATTGTTTGTCATCACTATTTCTGTCCAAAGTTTTAAATGTCATGGAAATGTTGAGGTCTCAATTTTATGGAAATATGGATGTCGATTAATATTTTTGTAAAAGTTAAGAGAGAAAAAATCGTAAAAAATATTTAAATTAAGGAATAAACATTTTTCTATTTCTAAATAAATTAAAAATAATTAATATTAATAATAATAATAATTATTATTATTATTATATATATATATATTAGTGTTATTTTGTTAATATTTTTTTTTATATTTTTTCGATTTTTTTTAATATGATAAAAATGTCGATTTATCGTTCAGTCGAGGTAGAAGTTTGGATACATGAAAATGTCGACGTATAGACAGATATTTAATACCATGCTTCTACCTGTGCTTTTGTATTGTTATCAACTTTTTAAAAACGTTTTCAAAATCTAAGCTGAATTTTGAAAACCAAAGAAATTTTCAATTTTTTTTTAGATTTGGTCAAGAATACTAATGTGTTCTAAAGAAAGGTGAAAAACATTCTAAAACCTAATGATAACAAAACAAACGTGATTTTTAAAACATAAAATTAAAAGCGAAATTGTTATTAAACAGAGCCTTAGTATTAAGGGTAAAAAACTTGAACTCAAATGAACTTTAATATGCACATAATTCAAATAGTCAGCATTAATATCTCTCCCTGGTAACCGACATAAAACATAGCTGAATTCGTCAATATATATCTCTCATCTCCTTAAAAGATAACAAAATATTCCTATCTTATAAGTCATAAGTTAGGAATGTTTTCTCAGTCTAAACCCAATTTAGTGATCAATTAACACACATCTTTACTCCTATACTAAACTAAAAAATGATAGTTTCGAACAGTGTCTCTAATATTCTAAACCAAAGTTTGAATCTTTCTCTCTCATTTATTTGAAAACTAAAAAAAAAAAAAGAGAGAGAGGACAGAGATTTTAGGATTGAATTAATAAAATAAAATCCTTTTAAAAGTTGAAGGGCAAATATTAAAAGGGAAGCAAACGCAGGCATGGCTTTTTCTTTGGTGTTCTTTTTCAACTGCTCTTTTCCACAACTCCGTTGGTTTTTGAAGAATGGGACACTCGATCGTATTCAGGGCAGAGCATGAGCATGTTCACATCAACCCCAGATGCTGACCGCGGGCAGATCTTTAGAGAGAGAAACTATTCTAGAGAGAGAAATGGCTTCTCTGAGACAGGGCGTCAGATGGGTTCGGGCAATGCTGGCTCGGGCGGGTACCCTATAGAGAGATCCACATCCCCAAGTCCCCAAAACTTTAAGAGAGAGAAGCAACCACGGAGACTGAAATGAACTACTTCCTCTTCCTTCTTCTTCTCCCCCCTTTGTTGGTTTTCCTTTCAAATTCGACGTTTTACCCTGTACCCAGAAGCAGATTTTGCTAGAGAGAAGCTTAATCTTCTCCATTTCTACAGTTTTCGTCTCTATTGTTCCTTTTTTCCCCCATTTCGAATCTTGTTTCTACCCTTCTGATCGCTGCCATTTGGGTTTTTTTTTTCTATTTCTAACCCCCTTTTCTTTGGGTCTCTTTTGACTCTGTTTTTTCCCCCCCATTTCTGTGATTCGGCATTGGGAAAATTTGGAAAGTCCCACCTGGGGGATTCCCTTTTTTGGGTTGTGTCTTCCTGTTTGGAAGCCGGGAAAATCAGAATGCCGAGAAACAGAGATTTTCCTTGCTCGCCCCTTTTTTTCTCTCTCTCTTGCTCCCTTGACAGAACAGAGGATTGCCCATTTGATGATATGGTTTCGTTTCTTCTGACTTGATCAGCATACACCAACTGATAATCAGTAGACCATTCAATTGGGAACTTCTCTTCTCTTCTCTAGGATTTAGTTAAAATTCCTTAATATTTCTTTGATTGATATCCCCAACTCAGAGGCTAACATCTAGGGAGTAATTGGTGGTTTTCTAGTTACTGCTGTGAATCTGGTGTCTATATGAATTTTGTGGAACAATGAGAGATGAGAATTCAAAGAAAAGCAAGGTTAGAGAATCTGCTGTGTTTGTTGATTGTATATTCTCCTTTTGTCTGTATTTCTTTTTTGTGGTCTGAGAATTGCTGATATTCTTCTGCTCTTTCCTGAAGCTTTCATGGCCTAAAACACTGGTTAAGAAGTGGTTCAACATGAAGAACAAGGCCGAGGATTTTACATCGGATGATATTGCTTATAGAGGTGATTGGTTCTTGTCTGGTCAAATTTATTAATGATTTGGATATGTCATTTGGTTAAACTGGGATTTTTTCCCCATTTCCTGTAGCTTGTTCTAAAGTTGATTTAGATTCTTCTTCTAAAGCTTGAATAACAAACTTGCGTTATTCTGCTCCCAGTCACTGTTTTGTCTGGTGCATAAGTTTTTTTTTTTTTTTTTCTGGTCTTTAATGGGGGGTTCTGTTTGGTTGCGGCTCAACAAGATCTATAATTTGTTTTCTTCCTCTTCCATCCTTGTTTTTTCTTTTGGACGAAAACGAAAACCCGAAAATCGAGTTCTTTTTTGGATTTGAATGCGTGGGCTTGATGATGATTAACTGGGAAGCAAAAGCACAGCTTTAGCTTTATTAACATTCTTTTGTTGGTTGGTGCTTCTTTTTCAGGTGGTGATGAAGAGTGGAGGAACAACAGCTATACAAAGAGGGAGACGTGCACTGTCAAGAAAAGCAAAACAGGTTTGGTTCAGTTTTTCAGACATCTCTCCCCATTGCTTTCATTTGGACCACAGCAGCAGCCTTAAAAACTCCAAAACAATGGACAAAATTAATTTGCTTTTAATCATTTCTAGTTTTCTGCTCCCCCAGTTACTTTCACTAATCCCTTTCCAACATTCTCCCCCAAATTACGTCCACAGATAGATCCAACAAACGCCATCCCGATCGAGGCCGACGAGGCAAGATTGACCTCGATGGCACGCAGGTCACTGACGTGCAAAATTACAGGTAGGTTCTATTGTAGTTGTTGTTTGTTTGTTGGATTTGTTTCGTTTGTTTTTGTTTTTGCTTATTATCTGTTTTCTGTGGGCTGTGGACAGGGTTTTTGTTTCTACTTGGAATGTGGCTGGAAAGTCTCCTCCTAACTGTTTGAATCTTGAAGACTGGCTTCATGCTTCCCCTCCGGCCGATATTTACGTTCTCGGGTATATACCGAAATATCTGATATGCAATCTCTTTCTGTCTTCCTTTTGTTAGAAAAGTTTTGAAATAGTAAAGAGGAAGTTTCATGTTGCTTCCTTTTGCAGGTTTCAAGAAATTGTTCCTTTGAATGCTGGTAATGTTTTGGGCACAGAAGACAATGGTCCAGCCAAGAAATGGCTGGCTCTGATTAGGAAGACTCTGAACAGTCTCCCTGGCACTAGTGGGAGTTGTTACACGCCTTCTCCCATCCCTGATCCGGTTGTGGAGTTAGATGCAGATTTTGAAGGATCAACGAGGCAGAAGGCTTCATCATTTTTTCATCGCAGATCATTCCAATCACTGAGTCGCAGCATGAGAATGGACAATGACATGTCTATGCCACAACCACGACTTGATCGTCGATTCAGTGTCTGCGATCGGGTTATGTACGGGCACCAACCGAACGATCATGACCCCAGTTACCGATGGGGTTCCTCGGATGATGAAAATGGGGATTCACCAGTTGCCTCACACTATTCACCTTTCTCTTATAATGGTTTTTTTCCCATGGAAGATGGAGATAATAGACATTCTGGGCACTCGAGGTACTGTTTAGTTGCAAGCAAACAAATGGTTGGCATATTTTTAACTGTATGGGTGAGGAATGATCTCCGAGACGACATCCGAAACATGAAAGTATCTTGTGTAGGCAGAGGATTAATGGGTTATCTTGGGAATAAGGTAACAAGTTCTCCTAGATTATGTACAAACTTGGGGAGTCATAATGTGAACTGAAGGAAATGAATGGTAATCTGATTTCTCTTATGGATTTTCAGGGATCAATTTCAATTAGCATGTCTTTGCACCAAACAAGTTTTTGCTTCATCTGTACTCATCTAACCTCTGGTCAGAAGGAGGGCGACGAACTTCGGAGAAATTCTGATGTCATGGAGATTCTCAGAAAAACAAGGTTTCCCAGAGTTCATGGCATGGGCGACGAGAACTCTCCTCAAACGATTTTAGAGCATGAGTAAGGATTCCAATCATGGAACACATTTTTCATACAATGTATGAACTTTGGTTGTTTCAATGTTATTAGCTTTCTCTAAAAGTTTGTCATTGTGATTGTCCTGATCCAGTCGAATTATTTGGCTCGGGGACTTGAATTATCGGATTGCATTGTCGTATCGATCTGCAAAGGCTCTTGTTGAGATGCGAAATTGGAAGGCTTTGTTAGAGAACGATCAGGCATACTACAAATCTCCTAATATATCAAATTTCATTCACTCATTTATAATGATGATCACTTAATCTGAGATTGTATTGTTCTGTTCTTTCAGTTACGACTCGAACAAAGACGAGGCCACGTCTTCGAAGGATGGAATGAAGGAAAGATATACTTTCCTCCCACATACAAGTATTCCAATAATTCAGACCAATATGCAGGAGACGCGAGGCACCCGAAGGAGAAGAGAAGAACTCCTGCTTGGTAAAACAATACAATACAAAACGACGTTTACATATATACAAATCGATGCGAAATACACCCTCTCTGAAAATGTCGGTTCTAACTTCTATTTGATTATGTGTGAAGGTGTGATCGCATACTATGGTACGGAAGAGGCCTTCACCAACTGTCCTACGTTCGCGGCGAATCAAGATTTTCAGATCACAGGCCTGTTTACAGCATATTCTTGGCCGAAGTCGAGTCCATAAACCACAGCCGCATCAAGAAAAGTATGAGCTATTCGAGTTCCCGAATCGAAGTAGAAGAGCTGTTGCCATGTATGTACGGACACCACACTGAAATGAACTTCTTCTGAGGGATTTTCTTTCCACACCATGCTGTACTAAGCCAACAAACTCATGATCAAGGAATCACCTACTCTCCAAGGTAAAATCACCCAAATCCCAAGATCACATTATACATCAAACTTACTTTTCCCACACATAATAATCATACTTCCATTGTCATTATCAGGTCCCCTTCAGCTTTCGATCATCGTCATCGCACTCGGCTTCCTCATATAGGTACTTCCTTTATGAACTCCCGTCTTCCACAAGCATGTCGTTTAGTCGCTTTTGTTAAACACAATATCTATTCTGGGGTAAATGGTGTGGCAACTTTTACTTTCTACTGCCCAATTCAAAATCTGATCTTCTAGTTGACTCCTCCCATCCATGGGAAACAGAATAAGAACCAAGAATTTTTTTTTCTGAACCCATTACTGCAAAAAGTTGTGTTGTTTCAATAACAAGTTTAGAACTTAGATATGTTGGTTGGGCTTATCCCATTTGCAACTTGGTCCCCCAAAATTTGCAGGCTCTCTCTCTGCTGCAGAAAAGGAAAAAGAGAAGAAAAACTTGCTTCTTTTACCACAGCCATGGCACCCCTCTGAAATTCTGCAACAGGAAGAAGAAGAAGGTCCATTATGAGCTTTCTCTAATTCTCTAAATTTGGCAGCAATTTTTTTCCATTTGATGATCTAATTTTTTTTTCTTTTCTTTTTGCTCATCACTGTGCAGGTGGTAGGTACAGACTGCAAATTTTTACATCAGTAAGATTCAAACTGATGAGCTGGACTAAATAAGCAACTTTTTTTTTTTTGGGTTTTGGGAAATTGAATTTGTAATTGGTGGGTGAGGTCGAGGGAAGGTTTGAGGATTTTAAATGTATTTTAGTTTTAGTGATGATTCTTTTGTGTGGTTTTTTGGGAAATAAAAAAAAATTTATAGGCAACTTTTTTTTCTTTTCTTTTTTGAATTTCTTGGTTGGTTTGATTGAACTGTAGAAAGGTTGAAAAGAAGTGGAGAAGTGACAGAAACTACTGGCTCATTGCAAACTGTAAAATTAAAAATAAAAATAAAAAAATGATGGCATTAAAGCTATTTTTTTTTCTTTTTTCCTGCTGTTGAGGCTCTGATCTAGTCTTTTTCTTTTTTTCTTTTTTCTTTTTTTTGTCTTTTTTCCCATAAATGGTTAAATATATTCATACATTTTCTTTTCTTATTGGCATTTAAATGAAATATATGGGAAAAGAGATAATAGTTTACTCTGCTTTATCTTTAATTCAAGTTGACAAAAAGTTAAAATGTAGTCTCACTTGGATTGAAATTGGTTTGAATCCTACCAGAAATACGGAGGAGGGAGAATTCGAATACATGACATGTTGATGGCAAATGTAGCCTTTTGAACTATATTATGACAAAAAAGAATTGTTATTAAATAAAATAATTATTTTGATCACTATTATTATTTGTTTTTTTAGTAAACTCATTGTTATCATTTTGTAATTTAATGAACTCAACCGATAGCTGCCTTATCCAATTTAACACTATTTAGCATATATTTACATTACACACTAATACATATGTTAAATGGATTTGCTCGATGAACCATTTAAGATAGAATAACGATAAGAAGTAAAATTGTAATTAAAAAAGAAAAAACTCGAAAATATATATATTTTTAGTTCCGTAATTGTGGGTGGAAAATCATGGTAATAAGTATTTTATCCATTAAACTATTTTCGAATTGGCAAAAACTTGAAGATTGAAATACGTATTTTACGATACAAAAACTAAAATATAATAATTATTAAAAGAAGATGAAGCAAAAAAGGAATTGAAGCATGTATTATATTATAGTGGTAATTTTAAAAATAAATGATATTTTCTTTAATATGTTAGAAGAGAGTCGAGAGCTCAACTAGTTAAGATAGAGATCCTTGACGACGATGACGAAAAAATATGTTCAAATTCTTGCCGTCACATGTCCTTGAATTTAAAAGGTTAAATTACAAAACATATCCCTAAACTTTTTCATTTGTTTAAAACGTGCCTCTATTCTTTAAAAAAATTTAATGCTATCTTTGATCTTTCATAAATGTTTCGAAAATACTATTTTGGCAAACTTGTTAATATTTTGAACGAAAATTTGACGTGGTATAATCTAAAACGACGTGATAATTAATAACACGGAAGTTGACGTAGAAGTCTAAATTTTGGTTTTTGCTTCTTCATTGTCTAATCAATTTTCTCCTAATCTCCCTTTTAACAAAGGTAACTTATTCTATTTCCTCTCTTCAAATTTATAGACAAACTTTCATTTTTTTTAGAAAGACAAACTTTCATGTTAATTGATATGAATATTAATTTTTCATTCAAAATATTGACTGTTTATTCAAATGATATTTTTGAAATGTTTATAAAAGATCGAGTGCAGAATTAAAACTTACGAGAGACTGTTATAGATGCTATAGCAAAACTTCGTAAAAAAATATCTCGGGTCGGAAAAGTCGCATTCCTCCAGAAACATTACGTTTTCACAGCCCGTTGACCGTCAATAAAAGCCTAAAACATCCAACCACCGTCCAAATGCGAAAATTTAATATTATATATGTTTATGAAAATAAAATATTTTCACCTTTCTCTATTTTCAACGGAATATAAATACGTGGCAGAATTCCATTGGATGAAGCAGTTCAGTACAGTCTCATTACTCCAAGATTTCTGACACTTTCTCTCTCTCTCTTCTTAAATTATTTACAAATAAAATACATTTTTCTCAAAAAAGAAAAGAAAAGAAAATTCACTTATTTCCACGTCAGCGACAGTCCACATCGGGCAAATCAAACGGCTGTTCTCGCAAAGACGGTGTTTATTCCCAGCTGTCTTTATTTATTTTTGCAATTTTTTAAAGTTAAATTATAAATTTAATTTAAATTTCGACACTTATGGCTTATGAGGATTTAGTCCATAAATTTTTTTAATTGCACTTCAAAAAAAGTATATATATATATATTAGCTAAATTGTAACATGATATGACTTTCATTTCTTATTTATCTGTCACATTTATGTCAAAATAGCTTATGTTTATTTAATGCCATGTGATTCTTTAGTTAATATGACATTAATTTATATAGAATATAAGTAAAAGTATAGAAGTTGAAGCCAAAGTGAGTATAGATTAGCAATGTACTCAAAAAAGAAAAAAAAAGCATAGAAGCTGAATCAAAATATTTTTAATTTAGGTACATTTTCCCCTAATAAATCAATCGTTAAGAAAAATGAACAATTTAAAAGTAAAATAGTTCTTTATCAACAAAATATATATAACGGTCAAAATATAAAAAATTAACCATACTGAAACTAAAATAGATATTGCGAATTTACACCTATAGATTAAAATAGATAAAAATGAAAAAGTCTAAAAACCAAAATAAAATTTAAATATTTTTCTATTCTCAAGTAAAATGGTAAGAGTAAAAGCTCTCCATTTAAAATTACACCAAATCCTACTTGCTAGCGTGTGTATGTACATAGCGTGTTCAAATCTATTTGACGTATACTTTATAAATTTATTATTTATTTTTTGAAAAAAAATTATAATACGTAATACTCTTTCCATTCATTATCTGTCACATTAACATCATATTAAAAATAGTGTAGGCTATTAATATTAAAATTTTATTTATAATAAAAAAAACTATAGTGTGAATAAGGAAATACGTAGTAGTGGTGATTTTTCAACTTTTACAGTCTGATAAATTGACACGTGTCACCAATGCGCTTGGATTGGCAAAGTCTCAAAACGATGTCCCAACTGGTCCACTGGAAATATTTCAGTTAAAAGAAAAGGTAAGTAAATAAATAAACGGTTGTACTAAATAATAATAATAAACGACAACCGGCTTCTTGGGAAAAGTATTTTTAAAAAGAAAAAAAATCCTAAAAAAAAAAAAGAAAAAAGAAACTATTTTTAAATATGAGAATTAGTATTTTGTAAATACTTAGGTTATTACGCAACTATTCACAAATTTGTGATTTTTTTATAACAATTCATGTAAGGAAAGAAATTTCAAAAACATTTCAGTATTTTCCTACTATTTTTTTCTAAAAAACAAAAATTAAATTTCAAGTTTTTGAAATATAAAAATAAAATAAAATAAATTGCTAATCAACAAGCATATTTTTCAAAAACAAGATCATTAGCCTCACCCAAACCCACTATCAAATTGGAGGTTAATTTTTATAAACTTGTTTTGGAAAAATAAAAAAACAAACAAACAAAAGGCAATCTTCTTTGCAAAAGTAACCAAATTGTTTATATGCTTGATTTTATTTTATTTTATTTTTTCAATATAAACTAGAGGTTTGGTTGGACAATATTAATTATGATGATTATTGCAATGGAGTCCTCCAAGTGTTAGGTTATTAATTAGTTCTAATATCTATTCACCAAATGAATAAGAGAGTCATTCCAATCAACCCATAATTATTGCTTATTTTATTTCTTAATTAATTTGATTCTTAAGACAACCCAACATCACTTTAATTAATTTAATTTAGATAAAGTAATTTGGTCTCTCATTGAGAAAAGGGTTGAAAAAGCTATGTTTGGGACTGCCAAGTGGCATCTTATCAACACATTATTGTCTTCTCACACTATTACTTTTATATCAAATAATATTGCTGACAGATTCTTTCCCCCCTTATGTGTGAATAATTCATTCAAGCATATAAAAATTAAAATAATAATAATAATAATAATAAAATAGAACGGGCCAATGTTAGTGTCAACGAACCTCTCCATGAGGCTCTGCCCGCCCTTCCCTTCTCGTTAATCCACTCCAGGTCGGATCAGAGGAGCTACTAGTACACCTTCTTGAGCAGCTGAGATATTAAACAATGAACATTTGATAGGATTCCTTATCTCACCATGAGATATAAGAGGAGAAAGTCGATTTGACTCGAGTCCTGGACCTAATCTTTAATCTTGCGTCGGTTAATGATGTGTGATGGGAGAAGTTTCACTTTTGTCATTTTTTCATGAGTGTTGGCTCAGTCGAGACTCGTCCATGCAATATATTGGTACGATGTTCATTTTAAATCTGAGGTGATTTTGTTTTTGAATTTTACGCAGAATGTCTTATAATACTATACTTACTTTTATACCAAATGTTTTCTGACTTCTAATCAATGTAGAATTATATATTGGCATTTCAAAAAATGTTGGGATGGATAAAAGAAATAGTTGCCATAGTATCCAAATTTGAGAAGAAAAATAAAATTATTATCAAAATATTTAATTTAATCCTTGTTTAAAAAAAATTATTTTGGTTCTAACTGTTATTTTGTCCTCCATTGTTTAATATTTGGATATAATGTGATTTTGAGTATATGTGGATTGGCATGTTGATATAGGCCTCTACTGAAGCCACATATATATGCCATTGGAGTTGCACATTTAGAGGGTTATTAGGTGGTGAAATGATAGCAAAACCATTGTTTTGCAAAGTTGAATAACTAAAATAGACACTTTGAAAGTTTAGAGACACAATTAAAAGAAAAAAAATAGAAAGTTTAACTACCAATATGAGTTTTAAACCCTTTTCAAATAAAATAATGAATAAAAAAACAAAATTATTATCCAATGAATTCTTAGAGATTGACGATATGGTTCGTCTTTCGAATGTATAGATAACCAATTAGTTAGTGAAAACTAAAAGTTAATTAGGATATTAAATTTCTATGAATTTGACATCAACATATATAAGAGGTGAATAATCATTTCATTATATGAAAATCAACAAAATATTAATAAAATAGTATTAATATGGACATAACAGTAAGGATTTTAACTTATTTAAGAATTAATTTAAATATTCTTTTATGATTTTTTTTACTTTTATGATTTTCTAGAAATATTTATTGATATCGATATTT